AGATGTTGTCTCTTCTCTGTGAGCTGTACTGTTCTGTAGTATAATACTTTAAGTGTGAATCTATACGCCTATTGCCTGAATCTGCTTTATGGTTTTCTTTGGTTCTTTTGTTCTGTTTTTAATTCACCAGGTGAACCTATATGTTCATAAAATAGTGTGTGTGAGCTTAACTGTGTGTATTAAACTAAAACGGAGCATTTTCTGTCAGCTCAGATTTTATTTCTGCTTTTAATTTCAGATTCATCAACATTATTTATAATTCATTTATCATCCTTACAAACAGTACATTCTAAACAAAAACCTTGATGGTTCAGATGAAAGCATTGATACCCAGATCGGCAGGACTCTCCTCAGCCAGGGTTCCTCCTCTGCTGCTCTCTGAGCCCGTCGACAGGAGCATGAGCTGCAACAAAGAGCACACAAATAATACTTTAATATTCACAACTGTTCAATATGGTGGACATGTGACAGTTAATCCAACTTGATAGAACTCATGATGGATATGAGACATTTTTTTAAACCTCCATTGCAGTCTCTTTAAACGGTCTAATGGATTACTAAATTACATTACATTACATGTCACTTGTTAGACGCTTTTATCCAAAGCGACTTACATACTCAATACTGTGGGCAATCCCCACAGGAGCAATTCGGGGTGAAGTGTCTCGGGGACACAACGACATGCTGACTGCAGTGGGGTTTGAACCTGAGACCCCCTGATCCAAACACCAACGCACAACCCACTGCACCACACGCCTCCCTACTAAATGAGACATAGATAAATTAATATTTACCCGTGTGTCATCTTCATAGTTATCTTTGGGTTGATTCCAGGACCTCAACTCCACCATCTCCTCCTCTTCTGATTTCTCCTGTTGCTGCTCCTCCTTCACCTGCAGAACACAACAACAGCATCTCATAATAAAACACAAAGAGAAAAATCCTACAATCAAAGTGTTGATTTCTTGCAGTCATCATAGACACGGCAGCTATCACTGTAAATGCACATCTGTTCAATTGAAACACTTGTATGTCTCTTAACTCCTGCTCTCATGTGTATAATTGGAAGCTAAATAGCAAACCACTAATGACAGCTGACTGTATGTGCACACTAGTAGCTGGGTGTGGGGATTGTCCAATAGGTGTAAAAAACGATTAACAATACTACATCATTTTAGTTCATATTAATGGTGCCAAGACCAAGGCAGTCCTTTTTTACACCCCCACTTGGAAAAGTCCTCAGTGGTTAGCAATGTTGGCCAAACACATGCAGCACATGGACATTTACATTTACTGAAATAGCTTAGATTTCACTTAAATCAGGAACTGTGATCAAAGAACAACAACTAAAGATTACATTTTCTAGTTATGACGCATATTTATAATAACGCAACAAAGACCACATCACCCCCGTCCTTCAAAACCTGCACTGGCTCCCAGTCCGTCAACGAATACACTTCAAAATCCTTCTGCTAACACACAAAGTTCTCAATAACCAGGCCCCCCCCCCTACCTCACCGACCTGATCCACCACTACACTCCCTCCCGCAGCCTTCGTTCATCAGAAGCGAACCTCCTCTCTATCCCCACACGAACCAAGCTCTAAACCTGGGGGGACAGAGCCTTCTCCATCGCTGCCCCCACCCTCTGGAAATCCCTCCCACAACATATCAGAGACTGCACCGACCCCCACTTTCAAAACACTGACCAAAACACACCTCTTCAGATTGGCTTTTAATTTGTGAATTATGTTGTGTTGCTGTTTTTGTATTTTTTATTCTATTTTATCTCGTTTTATCACCACTGTAAAGCATCTTTGAGCACCTGAAAAAGCGCTTTGAAATTAAATGTATTATTATTATTATTATTAACAAACCACAGAGTAAACATATAGGGGCTACGAATGCATCCATACATTTCATTCCTACTTGTTTTTGTTATTGCAGATTACATTACAGTACATGGCATTTAATTAAAGTTTTTCCAAAGCGAAACTTCAATACCGCTGGCCAGGCCTACAAATCTTATCTGTATTTCCCAAGGACACTTTGACATTGTGACTGGTGATCTGATCACCAGCTCTGCTCTGGACACATTTCAGCCAGTACCAATGAAGAAGAAGTTTCAGACCTGGTTAGATGCCCCATGATATCCTGTCTTGAGAACGGTTGCTACGGTAACATAGAGGAAGAGCAGTATTCCTGGGTTGACGTAAACGGGCCAGTCATGGTCAGCGTTGAGGTTCAGGTCGTAGGGAAAGGAGCAGTTCCCTGGGATGATGATGTCCTTCAGACCAAACAGTCTGTACAGGAGCACAGATAAAGAGATGAAGAATAGAGTTAACGGCATGTCGCACAAATGCTTATTACTGCTGTGGTGATCTGTGGTGGTATGTGGGTCTGGGATGGCCCAGTCACAATGACACCTCTTACACTGTCAGTTTGTTAAGATAAGTGTGGAGCTATTCAAACTGACTCTTCAGAATAAAAGTCTGCGCAATGCAGATCTAAAAGATGAACTAGAAGCCAATCTGCAAGCCAAGAGAGCAAATAGTAAAAGGTCATTATTGATTTGACACATAACAGAGATGCAGCCAATTAAAGTCTGGAAACTCAAATCATACTAAAATGTGGGTACTATTTTCAAACTCTTCAAATCTTAAATGTCAAAACTGAGCCAATGTTTAAAGCGGCCAACAGAGAATGTTTATTCCACATGTTAGCTCTTTGGTGTACTGTTGTTGTATATACATGTATGTTACCGTGTTTCTCTGTTTACAAGTTGCCTGTTACTTACTGCCCTTTTGGGGATTCATTCATATTAAGAAAAAAATATATAATTAATAGAAGGTTATTTTTTTTAGTTTGAATATGAACAGCCACAACATCCAATAGAGAGTCAAAACACGATGGGGAAGCAGAAGAGGACAGAGTGAATCAGCTGAGCATCCTCCATGACCCTAACCCTCCTCCCTTGTTCAACACTGATCAATGAACTGCAGCTACGACAGATCTAGCTGCTGTTAAACCATCACAGGTCGTTGTCAGAAGACCGGGCCAGATCTACTTTCACAAAGCCAGCAAAGTCATGGCAGCTTTAAAACTGGTTTGAAAATGTTGTCAATCAAGCAGAACAATAAGTGAGTAACTACCATCTTTTTCTTCTCAAGAAAACAGAACACAGACACATCCCAAAGGAATGTAACAAATGCAATGGTGTTAATGTTCATGTTCTATTTACTAGAAATACCCACATGTAGAATCAGCACACTTATTGCAGCGAAAATACCATCTGCACAATGCTACTACAAAACAAAAAGAAACAAAAACAAGAAACTCAAGGGTATGAATCATTTAGTTTTTCCCGAGGCCTAGTCTGTGTTTCGCTCTTGTTCCTCGTGCACTCTGGTCTGTCATCGTTCAGTTTCTCTTTATTTACGTTGTTTTGTTTTGCCTTGTTTGGTCCCCCTGGTTTTGTATCAACTTTATTTAATTCAAAACGTTCTTCTTGTTATACCTGCCTCCCTAACTTCTAGCTGAAATCTTGACAGTTTTACTACCTGTGAGTCATGAATAGAAATCTTCAGTATAGAAATGTAAACACACACACACACACACACACACACACACACACACACACACACACACACACACACACACACACACACACACACACACACACACCTGGTAGAGCACCGTGTTATGACAGATGAGAGAGAAACTGAGAGCGATCATACTGAACAGAGGAATGATGCCTGGCCCGCTCCTCTGCGACTCAGCTGCTGTGAACGGCTGAGAGAACGAGGCATCAGCTGATCGCTTTTAGAAAGTCATTCCACACATACCTGAGCAGAAAACACACTCTGTGTTGTGCGTAGACGGCTCTGCTAAGATTGTTCCCTAGTTTAGGTTTCATGTTATGTGTTTATAGTGTTTTATTTTGATAGTCTTGTCTACCCTCATGTGTCTAAAGTACGTTTCCTGCCTCGTCTGTTTTCCCGCTGTTGTGATTGTCTAATTGTCTTCACCTGGTGTTGTCTGTCTAGTATATATAGTTCTCATCTTGCCCCGTCTCGTTGCCAGATTGTCTTGTGCGTTTCCAAGCATTCCAGCGTAACATTTGTCATTGTCCATAGAGTTATTGTCCATAGAGTTAGATTAAGTAAGTAGTTTTTGTAGTTTTTTGATAGTATATGTTAGACAGTTTATTGAGTGTTTGTTTTGTTGCTTTATGTATTCAGTGTGTTGTTACCTGATTACATTAAAACACTTTATTTTGATACTTTGTTTGTCTCTGCATCGTGCATTTGATTCCACGCCTTTGTACAGCCTTAACAAAAAGTGAATCTGTATTCTCTGTGTGTATGTCTTCTGAAGATGGTTTTCGTTATTCCTCAAGAAACATTCAATATGAGATGCACACAGAAATCATTTTACCAAATGACTCTACGGAACAGCCGTTTGAATGTCTATATTTGCATAAATAAAGACATGCATAAGGAATTATTCTGTAGAAATGCATACATTTTCTTTTTTAATTGACATCCCCGGCAGTTAGTCACACCAGTCTCTGCATGTATATACACACAAATAGCATCACATTTGTTTAATGCAACACCAGATGTTAGCAAACAGAGTGGTGATAAATCCACAGTGTCGTAATTTGATATAATGGAGTTTTAACGCACTTAAAGGTTGTTTTGATCATCAAAACACCTTCTTTTTTAGGTGTATCAGAACCGGTTGAATGCTTTTCCTTCCTCAACAAACAAATTAGATATGTTTAAACATTTTCTACACTATTTAAATCCATGTCTGCTAACTAGCATTCTTCATCCCTTCAGTTTGTTGCGTAATTGCTACATAATTGAGATTCACCACCTTTGACTGTCAATCAGTGAAATAACGTCAAATTACTGAAGGAATATGTTCCACTAATGCTGGTCCATGCGTGTAGAAAAACATCTAAACTAAATTGTCATCAACTCATCAAAGAATTGCCCCATAGTGCCTCCTATTCCTACATTTTAAGAAAAAATAAAATCATGTAATCATTCTGTAAGTAAAATATGTTTCTTCTCTATCTCTGATTTGATTCCCTGCTTGTCAGTTCCATTAATTCTCATTATTACAGGATTAGATTCCCCGTTGCGTTGTTGCCAGATGAAATGCATCAGAGGATCACTTTCATCGCCATGTTGTCTTTTGCAGCTCCGTGCTGATCAATAAGCCAGTGGCAGAGATGCTATTTATATATTTATGTTACAATGTATTTGTGTAAAATTGATACATAAGTTTGACATGATGATTTGTGTCACTGCACTGCAGACAAAACACTTTTTTTTGCTACTGAAAAGAGCAGGAACAACAGTGGTGCTAACGACGAGCGATTATTATACTTAAAAAATGTGATATATTTGGACTTTCCCTATAGAAAAGCACCACTGTGACTAATAACAATGAGGATGACAATAAGGAGGCATGCATAATAGCAGCTCTTAAAACTAAAGCAGCTTAATGGAACCTAGCTATTGTTCATTTGATCATTTACGCCTGTGCTTTCCCAACTGTGACTTTGTGTCAAAATGTCTTGGGTCGTTGTTAATAATGCGATGATAGAGGTGTTGGTAACACTTTATTTTGATAGTCCATAGTTAACACTCTATAAGTCATCAGTTGACATTTAGTAGCATGTCAACAGTGTATTAACAAATACTCAACC